AGCGCAACTGGCTTGTTCCTCCGCGAACCTTAGAAATTACTGGGCATGATTCAATTAAATTGTCATGAAGGGACTCTCGCACTGTTATTATAATACGCAGCGCTGTGTTTTACTGTTTATTTATTAACGTTGAATTCATTGCATTTAAAGATTATTTATTGGTACGTAAATATCCGGTCTGATAGTGCTTTCGAAATAGCTCGTGATGATAAAAAACCGGCCAAGTGCGTGTCGTGCCACGCGCAGAGTAGAGTCGCTCGTCGTCACCCACCACAACATATTTTAGAAAGAGTCTATATTTTATGTAAGTTTTTCGTCTAAGTCACTTTTAATGTTTTCTTCTAAGGAATGTTTATTAGGTCAGAAATTTTCTAATACATAAGTTGAACAACTCTTAAACTAACAAATATATTTTAACCTTTATAATTTTCCTTAAAAGTCCATGAAAAGCACTATCATAATGATTATTTCAGGTTTGTCAAGCCAATAATTTAGCTTTTGTCAGTCTACGGAACCCTAAATATTTTTTGTTCCACTCCATATTATAATTATTCAAAACTAAGAAAATGTCAGATATAAATCAAACTTTCTTATTGATACTTGAGAGAGTAAAAGTCAAATTGTTATGAATGCAAATGATAACAATGAAACCGAAGCACCATCTATTGCTACCTAATGTATAATTTATTGGATATACTTAAGGAATAGGCCAGTTTTCACAAACCAAATTAAACTTATGTTTTAATATATAACAAAAACAAACTTTACAGAAGCTAAATAAATAATACTCGAATCTAAGAAAAACAAAACTCGTATTGCACGCCAGAGGTTGAGTTTGCGTTGGAGAGTAATCCGTGCCGATAAATGACATTGCTCATTAAAGTAAGCGATGCGCGGGAGCCTTGAGATGCTATCAAACGGCTACTGGGCATTATAAAGAGGCTAATAGTACCCTGGGCAGCCGCGGCTCACACCTGCTGTCAACTACGACCATTTAATAAATTACACTCGCATCAAACACAAAATAGAAGAGATATGTTTAGCGTCCACACGTTCGTGGACGGGAGATAGATATAAATCATAAAAATTCCATCAACAGGACGGGATCACGGTCGCTATGCGGCACGCGACAAAAAAGCCCATTAGGTAAGCAAATGTATATATTAAAACAGAATAAGCGATAAATCTCGCGATGGGCTTTCAAATTCCGCGCAAGTCATCTGACGAGGTGAGATCGGATGGGAAATACCACATGATATACGGTACACAAACTCACTTGCATACGTACGTATGTCGCGTCACCGGTTGTGTGGCAGCGAGGCTGATCGTGTTTGTGACATTTATTGGATGAAAAAGAGAAACATAAAATGTTAGAAGGAATGTTGGAGATAAATAATATATGGAGTTGAGAACAGTTGAGTAGGATTCCTGGGCGGCGGTGACCGTAGGTTCCGCATTGGTGGTTTTTGTGTGATGTGGGCGCCACTGCTTCGCCGTGGCACGCGCTCTAATTGTTTGTTGGCGACCTCATGATCACCCGCTTTAGAGCTGACGCTAACTGATGAAACCACGCTAATTTAAAACATTTGAATTGATGCTAAAACACTTTTAAAGCCTATAAAAATATTGCTAACAGATATGCTAAGTAAAATAAAGTGAAAGATGCGTTGTGAGTGTTTCATTTGGACTGATTCAAACTTATTTTACGTATTTTAAATTTCTTCTACAGACTTTAAGCCTTTCGTGCCTGCACTTAACGAAAAGCGTGATTTTTTTCAGCTTGTTATCAAGAAATATTGTTCTTTTTCCAGTTCTAATAATTATGAAAGACTTAGTTTAAACTCACAAATACATAAACAAATTCCCTTCTAAGGTACATCGATCCTGATACGTAATTTAAACAGCCACGTTAATCAAATCAGAAAATCTATCAGAAATCAATATATCTTTATTCAAATTGGATGTAGAGTACAACTCTTTTGAACTGTCCATAAAAAAAAATCCCTACCACTCGTTACAGGAGAAAAACGAGCGAAAAAAACTCCACAACATTAAAACTATAATGTAACAACATTTACAAATCATTATGTTGTTACAGCGTCAATACAATCATGATATATTAAATATAGAAAACCTGTTGGAATGATTGGAACAGTTCAAACCCAAGCATTTTTGTCTGTAATATAATAAGACACATTGTATTAAGCTTTTTTAATAAGTGCTTTTTTATACTACCTTTGAATTTATTTATGGTTAACTCTTGGATATTGCTTGGGACTTTATTGCATAAGCGAACACAAAGACCTTTAAATTAATTATTGATTTTGGGAAGCCTAGTAGCAGGTAAAGTTAGTATATTTTTTTGTATTAAGTGTGTAAACATCACTATTTTTATGAAACAAATTTTTATTTTTTCTTACAAGTAATAAATTTTCATATATGTTTTGTGATGCTAGCGTCATTATGCCAAATTCTTTAAACGTATCTCTTAAGGATTCTTTAACTTTAAGATTATAAATTGATCGAATATCTCTCTTCTGCAGCACCAAAATAGTTTGAATGTCGGCGGCGTTTCCCCACAATAAAATTCCGTACGACATTACACTATGGAAATAACTAAATTACACTAATATCGCCGTATCTACATCTGTTAACTGGCGTATCTTCATTACAGCATATGCTGCTGAGCTAAGTCTTTTTGACAATTTATCAATATGTGGGCCACATTGAAGCTTAGAATCTAAAGTAACCCCTAAGAATGCTATGGTGTCTACAAGGCCTACATTGCTATCCTTTACATTCACACTGGTTTTTACCTGTTTTACATTAGGTAATACAAATTTCATACATTTCGTTTTTCCTTCATTATTATTAACATTGAAACAGTGGACTACCTTAGAGATACAACCGTTCACGTCGTCAATAACTGTTTCCTTGCGTTTGAGTTTAAATAAAAGTGATGTATCATCCGCAAACAATACTATCTCATAGTTATATCTTACATAGCTAAAATGAAAATTACTAGTACAAGGTTTCACGTTTTCTCTTAAGACTGATTCTGCAGCAATGGGGGAAGAGTTTAAAGATTTAGTAGTTGAAACTGGAATATTAGTAAAGAAATTTTCGAATGCTGTAGCAACTTCAATATCTGGTAACATTTTTATTATTTATATTTAAGTTACAAATATTATTGCGAGTTCTGGATTTTCCAGTATCATTGTTTATAAAATTCCATGTCATTTTGATTTTGTCATTACTGTTCTTAATCTTTGAACTTACGTAATTTGATTTTGCTATGCGGCATACTTTTTTTAACAATTTGGAATAGTTACGAACATGTTCTTTAAATTTTTCACTAGTATTACAGTTTCGTTCATTATAAAGTTCATAAAGCGTTCTGTTATTTTTATGAATCCCAGGCGTAGCCCACTTACTAAAAGTTACCGCATCATTAACACATATTTTTTGGATACAAAAACATTATTAAATCAGTGCAGTATATATTAAAAAAACATTATATAAATCTTTTGGATTGTCTTTTTATTTTAGATTACTCATTTTTCTAATTAATTTTTAAAACGTTCCACACGATTAGCAGATTTTGGTACAACAGTGATGTGTTTTTTTGTCACCTGCTTGAGCTGGTACGGAAATGTAATCAACTGGCCACAATGATCACTACCTAGTTTATTAATAATTTGTTTTTTCTGTGGTATGATATCTTTATATATATTATTAATACATGTGGCCGAAGTGGCCCTATTCTAGTAGGCTCAATGAATAAGTTTTTCAGATCGTATGATTGTTTTTTTTTTAGTACTCAAACGAATTTTTCTAATAAACCAATAAAACAATCATACAATGCTGATGGAGGTCTGTATACGCTCAATAAAACAAGCCGGTCTAGTTCCACATAGGCAATTTCTATTGTTCGCTCAACCGCGAGGCTCACAATATCTCTTCGTTCATTAAATTTTAGGTTTTTATTCAATAATATTAAAGAGCCACCTCGAATTGCATTTTATCGATTGAACGAACTACCAACCTGATGATTATTAAAATTAAATATATTCTGATAACTTTTAAGCCAGTGTTTTGCAATACAAAAAATATCTTTATTATTACAATTCATGAATAATTCATTTTCTAAGTGCTTACCCTTTATTCCTTGAATATTAAGATGCACCAGGTTGATAAAGCTTACATTTTTTGCAACGCTTTTGGATGTTTTTTTATTCATATTAACAAAAGAATTAATTTTATTATAATATTTTTAAATAATAATATAAAATTATTTTATTAAAAAAAAACATCCAAAAACATTGCAAAAAATGTAAGCTTTATGCAAGAAGAATTATATTATCATTCATATCTTACATTTGTGTGAAATTAAAGCTTTTTCTTTATGGTGTGTAACTTGTATATTCGTCTTCAACGCTCCGAGCCATTTATTGAGAGCTACACAAATATGGTAAAGTAATTATAACCGCGTCGTAGAATTACTTCACACCTCTAAAAATAGGTACCTATTTTATAATCATTAGATTTTACGAAACACTAACATTTTATGGAGGAGGTTCATGTTATTAATTTGTTTTTACTCCTTGACTTTAATTTATTATACCTGCTTGTCCTAAACTAATAGTGCCTTAAAATAGATTTTTTTATTTAAAATTTAACTTCTACCATAAAACGGCATTTAATGTGTTTTATATTAGAGAAAATACACATTTTTTTTTTTTGATTAGGACACAACAAGAATATCGACTTTCTTGTATTCATCTACATACCAAATGGCCCGAGCAGAAATTTGGAATCTTACCACTGATCTACATATAAAATTATTCGCCTACCTTCGCCTACCCTGTTCCCATTTTTGTTTGAAGTCAGAGCCCTATATCAATTTTTCCATTGTTTATCAGCCTTCGTCTGATACCACTAACCCCTTTTTGCTAAGGTCTGCCAATAACAACATTAATATAGATTCAGTTGCAACATACCTTGCAAATGCAACGGAAGCAGCTGCTAAAGTCTTGTTCTACTAGCCTGGCGTCTTGTAAACGCACAGGCTCACCTTCGTTGGAACACGGAGCGCGCTGGCCCTCTGAAAAAAGGTCATTTTTTAAGTGAAGTAATAAAGCCCGACATATAAGGTAATAATAATGTTAAGATTGCATTAGTGTCCTGACGAAAGTCGCTAACGTTCATTAGCAAAAGTTACAGCACATATTTTATTTTCCGAGAGTAAGTAAGTGAGAAGAACAAAGCGATAACAGTTTCGCACAAGTTTTATTTCAAGTCTCCTGTAACTACGGTTACACAACTACATAAATATGACTTTAGTAATGCAATACAGCAATACGGACGCAACCATGGAGGGATCAGCCACGGTGATAGTTTTCTATGCAACTTTTATGGAAGAAAATTGTGCAAGTACTATTCTGCATACGTAAAAATCAACACTTAGTACATGTAACTAATGAAAAAAAAACATTATTTTTAGGGTTCCGTACCTCAAAAGGAAAAACGGAACCCTTATAGGATCACTTTGTTGTCCGTCTGTCCGTCCGTCCGTCCGTCTGTCAAGACCCTTTTTCTCAGGAACGCGTGGAGGTATGAAGCTGAATTTATATCAATTACTCAGGTCTACTGTCCCTTGAAGCTGTGAAAAAATCAAACTTCTAAGCCAACGCAATCAAAAGATACAGCCGTTTATGCCGCACATTTTCGACACTTGCAAGGGAATCAAAACCTACAGGGTGCTTCCCGTAAACTCAGAATCTTGAAATTTGGTACCAAGCAACGTCTTATAGCATAGATAAAGGAAAAATTACGAAAACCATAAATTTTTAGTTACATCACATAATATATTTTTTTTTAATAATTTTAACCTTACTACCCATTTCCTCATAAACGCGTAGAGGTATTAAATTGAAATTCATACCAAATACTCAGGTCTATAATTGTTTTAAGCTGTAACAAAATCAAACTTCTATGTCAACGCAATCAAAAGAAACAGCAATTTAAGCTGCATATTTTGAAACTCGCAAGTACTCGCAAGGGAATCAAAACCTAAAGGGTACTTCCAGTCGACCTAGAATCTTGAAATTTGGCATGAAGCAACGTTTTATAGCACACATAAAGGAAAAATTCTGAAAACCTTAAATTTTTAGTTGCATTACAAAATATATATTTTTTAATAAATATAAACTTATTACTTTTTTCCTCATGAACGCGTAGAGCTATTAAGTTGAAATTCATATCAAATACTTAGATCTAATTGCCTTTAACCCGTGAAAAAAAAATTCTAAGTCAACGCAAAAACGCAAAACGCAAAAGTACAACCATTGATACAGCATATTTTGAAACTCGCAACTACACGCAAGGGAATTAAAACCTAAAGACCACTTCCCGTTGACATAGAATCTCGAAATTTGGTAAGAAGCAATAGCTTACAGCACAGGTAACAGAAAAATTCCGAAAAGCTTAAAATTTTAAGTAGTTATACCACCAAAAAAATTGTGATTGTAAACATAATTGTAGTTACAGCAATGACCGCGAGTTATTATACTATGTATGGGGAGGGCAACATTTTTCAAACGGCAAAGACGACCTCACTCATCGTCATTCAATCCCGATGTTTTGGTGAATGTAGCTGTATAATCTAAATGCGTCCTAACTGCTTAAAGTGTTAATGTTGCAATAGAATATATAAATACAACAATATTCGGCAGCAACCTCAATATGTACACTTCATCTTCTCGTCTGATTGTTGTGGGAGACTTCAATATAGATTTTAGAATGAATCCCCAAAATGGAATTTCCACATATTTTTCATCCATAAACATGTTTCCGTTAATAAACAGTAGCACTACACGAAGTTGTACAACTATTGATAACGTTTTTTCGAACTTCAATGTTCAATGTGGTACTATTCATAACTTTTTCAGTCACCATTTACAGGTCTGGTTCAAATTTAATACTTAATTAATATTTTTGAACCAGATTTCTAAATAGTGAATAAAAAACTTAGTAAATAAATAACTTTAATAAAAGAACTTTCGCAAGTCTGCTGCAAGGCTAGTATAAGTGTTTCAGTTATATTATAGATAAATGATATGTGTTAATATAAAATAAAGGATTACTTAAACGATAAAGAGATCTTTGTCTTAAATTTATGCTCCTCCATCTTTCCCCATTGTAATGTTATGAATTTCATTTTGCAATAAAAATACCATAGTTATGACTCGATTGTCGTAATGAACGAACTTTGTAAACCTTGCAGGTTTGTACGGAACCCTCGGTGCGCGAGTCCGACTCGCACTTGGCCGGTTTTTTCTTGTTATGTATATTATATCTATGATATAAGGAGCTGGCGAACGAAACGGTATTATTACTTAAAATTAAATTTTACAGGAGCTGTATAGAACTGAATGACATACCTCCAGTGAGCTTTTGGCATGGTTTTTAATGTATAAATTCAGTAATTTTAACCACTGTTTTAGGCGGTTTTGAGTGATAATTATTTGAGATTAAAATTCAACGAGCCCGAAACGTCCGGACTGTAAAAAAAAGTAATTTGACCAGATGCGTAATTATACCGATTTGTTCGCCAGCTCCTCATATAATATGACAGTAGATTTTGACATTAAACAATAACTACATAATACATTCAAATAATTTCAGTCACACTACAAGATTACCCGGGAATACACTTCTGATACGAAGATTTGCATATACCGTTAGCGATTATTAGTTCTACTAGCCATAAAAATCTTCTGCCCTTTGAGTTTCTGCAATATCTTAAGTAAATTACAATCATAACTTTATTTTATTCTCAGGCACCATTGTTGTTATAGATGGGCTATTTCCTAGCAAATATAATGGATAGCATATTACGCTATAGATTTTTAAGCTATATAGTGACTTGTATCTCTTAAAAACTTCTGTTCTTTAAATTATAATTATAGAAAATTAAAAAAAAAACAATAAAAGGTACTACATGTAACTGGCGATAAAAGTTACTACATGTGCATCATATTGTAAATTCCTATTATTTCAAGAAAAGATTAGTTAAAAATATTTGGAAATTAGTTATTTATCATTGCCCTATTTGGCATTAACTTGTCGATATTGCAAATAAATTGTAGGTACTACTGCCAAAACGTAATAATATAAAAAAATGAATGTAATTATAAAGTGTTTTAATGCTGCTGTTGTAAGATAATAAGTAAGAGGATAAATTATTCAATTTTAAAAATACAACTTACTATATTAAAAACAAAATTGAATATAGATGCATCCAAATTCGAAACAACTGGCGACATTTAGGTACTCGTTAAAAACACAAAGAATAGAAGAGTTTGTGGTCACATTGGTTCGAAACCTGCGTGGGAACAACACTGGCCCATCTATCAACGCACCGGCCCTCGAATAGCCCGCGCTGCGCTTTACGACTGTCTTCAACATGAAATGCTCTATAAGGGACTTAGTGCTTGTATCTATTATACTTAGCTGTATACTGTAATAGCATTCATAAAAGTCTAAGATTCCTCATGGTTTTGCTCACCTAGTGCGCGAAAGTAACGTCTTACCTACTTTATTCCTATGATATAATGTTATTGGATACGAATGTAAATTATGTTTTTCAAAAATATTAGTTACATCATAACTAATAATTTTCACTACATCAACGCTATATAAAAAACAATAATTATATACAATATATTAATATATTATACGTTGAACAATATCTTATAATTAAGTATTAATAAATCGATAAATCAAAGTAACATGGTGGAAAATATATACATCAAGTAGGTAACTATAAAATACTAAAACACACGATCCCCGAATGATACAGATTCCGCACGTTCTATATCCTTGTTTGTTATTATTAAAATTAATTTCCTTTCGCCGCGAACATTTTCCTAAATATGAAAACATTCGGCTCCACAGACTTGATCAAATTATTAACTTGATTTAGACCTGAGATCCGCATTCTTATAATGTACATAGCACTCGGCGCCAACGCCGATCGCGGACGCAAAGATATCGCGTCCTGCGCAAATATTTCGGTAATTAATGTATGCTCATCTACGGCATTCACGAGAACATTCCTCGCATATTTACCTACATCACTAATATTTGGAATGTCCAAGATTCCAGTTGTTTTGTTGGTTGATGAACAATTATAGTTTTGTTTTTATTTGACGGTCATCGTGACATATCATCCGCTTGATAGAAATGTGAGTTATGGAAACAGAAATCTGTTTCAACAAATGGGAGTAATAATAGTTATTTCATTAAAAGTAAGAAAACAAATATAAAATAATTTTATGCCAGTCAGTTATGCTGTACCATGTTCGTTATCAAATATGTTAATAAAGTTTTTACTATCGACATATTTAATGCATGTAGTGCCTCCTTTCTATAACAAGATAAACTTATTTACATTTCATAACAACTACTTCTCATAGCAACAGCCGAGATTTCAAGGTGAACAAAATTTTGAACTATGAATTGGAAATTATTAGATTAACAAGGTATGTTGTTTGGATTTATACCAAAGGTTGGCTAATAACTGCTGCTGGGTGGTTAACTTATATAATTTGTATTTGATTTTTTTTTATTTTAATAGTTAATCTATTCATAGACGACACACTTTTTGTTAAGTGGTTGTACTGGAGTCCAATCCTGAAGATAACTTATGCGGCGGAAAAATTCACCAGGTCACACTAAGGTGCCCTGGACCTTACACAATACAAATACAGAATATCACCGAAACGTAATTTAATTTTACCTGTATTCTATTTCTTTCCCAGAGGAGCTCTTAGATTTGAGCGAAAAATTCTATTATGTCCTCTCTCTTATACAAATAGTATAGTATATACATAAGCTCATCATAATTCACTAAAAGCACTATTGTTTTTGTTAAATATCCATTAATATTTGTTATCTCACTTGTGAGGCTTTCTCGGGCAATTAGTAATATATTCATAGACAAGTTAATACCATATACCATTGTGTTTTTTATTGGCCATTTCATAGAATCGTTATTTCCATTGCCAATTCGAAGTATCTCTGAAGTCATTTTTCAACTTG